AGGCACCAAAAACAATAAAAAATAACTTTAAATTTCTAGCACAACGTAAATAATTTTTGAAAGTTAAAATTAATTTTTTTTTTCTTAATACACTAATAATTTAATCTCATTTTCTAAATCTTGTTAAAAGTAAATAACATTTAACATAAATATTACTAAAATTGATTAGAAGCATTCAAAATCAAAATTTAAAACTTCTAAACCCAATATCTAAGAATAGTTGAATATTAAGACTACTTTTATTATATAGTTTTAAGACTTTTATAATGATACTTATTTAAAACTTAGTTAGGAAAATCATAAGATTATTTTAAGAATAAATTAGAAATTTAGAGTTCTAAGAATAAAGGCACAAATCAGTTTTGAGATGATAAAATTACAGGTGAATTAAAAATTTAAAATTAAGATTAGAGTCCATGATTAAAATAGAGAAATAATTTAAGGAAAATGGAGAAATAATTTAAGGAATATAGAGATGTTTTATTTTTATTTTTTTAATAAGTTAATGGAGTTATAATCTTGTAAAATAAGAAAAAGAAAATTTAAAATATTACAAAAAAATATGTTATATTATTTAATTAAATTATCTTTTAATTAAATTTTATTTTATAATCTGACAGTCCAGACGGTTTGAAAATAAAACTACAAATCAAACCAATTATGTCGGTTTTAAAATTTTAGAATTCAAACCAATCCAATTTTATATCGATTTGGATCAGCGTTTGATTGGATTGGATCAGTTTAGGTCAAATCAATCGAATTGGATCGGATATGAACACCCCTAGTATTTAATAATAAAATATTGTATAATTTTTTAATTTTTTTCCCTCACGTATAAATTTTCAGTCTCCAAAAGATTGATACTGATGTCTGTGATATCTGTTATCTATTACTGTAGGATATCCAATTTGGGACGTTGTGGTTGAACTAGACTCATTGTGCATCCCTAAAGTGTGTTGGTTAAACTTGGATAACTATTGGCAAAAGAAAATAAAGCAGATTAAAGAAGATGCTACTGCTCATTGCCGACCACGTCCAGAGACTATGGAATACTTGGAATATCAGAGGACTGATTATTCTGAGCCTCTTCCTACAGTCTTTCCTAGTTCTGTTTGCACCATTAAGAAAGCAGAGAGGTGGGAAATGGATCGTCATGATTCCACTCTGGATAGCATACCTGCTTGCAGATTGGGTGGCTACATTCACCATTGGACTCATGTTGCGTGCTGAACACAGTGACATCTTGGCCTTTTGGGCACCCTTTCTTTTGTTGCATCTTGGTGGCCCTGACACCATTACTTCCTTCTCTCTGGAGGACAATGAATTCTGGATTAGGCATTTGCTTGGGCTCATGTTACAAGTTGGTTCGACTATCTATATTATCCTTCAGTCGCTCACACATAACAAACTTTGGCTACCAACTCTCCTAGTTTTAATTGCAGGGGTAATCAAATATGCTGAGCGCAACCGTGCCTTTTATCTCGCAAGCTTTGACCATTTTGGGAGTAATTGGGCAGTTGTTCGACTTACAGCGGTTCCTTTTACAGTACCTCCTGAACAAGCTCAAGCTCGTGTTATGACACGGGTTTTTAAGAATTGCACTCCGGCTGTGTATGTAATTGCTTCGGCAGTTTACATGGTCAGCACCATCAAGAGCTTGCTTGTAGGTCCTCCTCTGACTGCAGATGAAAATTTTGCAATTTATGAAAATATGATAAATAAAGATTCCCAGGAGATGCTTCAAATCATAGAGATCCAATTAAGCCTCTTGTATGAGCTCCTTCATACCAAGTTGCCCGTAGTTGATTCCAAGATTGGTTATATTTGCCGCACGGTTAGCTTTGGTTGCATCTTGGGAGCCTTAGTGTCATTCTCAATATTACTTAGGAAGAACTACCATAATAAGTTTACGGACTTTGACATCTGCCTGACATATGGGTTGCTGATCGGGGCATTGGTATTGGATTTGATATCCATCTGGTTACTTATGTTCTCTGATTGGATTATTTTTAACCAGTACCCGGGCATAAAGAATTATGATGAATTCATTAAAAGGCGCAGGTGGTCGAATTTAGTTCCCCAATTAAATGTTTTTGATTGTCATTGGAAGAATAAAGATAGAGATTATCCAAACAAATTGGTTGATTTTCTTGGCACAAGCAGTTTGTTTGAAACTATAAGGAGAAGAATCCAGTGTGGGTCCCTCGAAAAATTTGTAGAAGAACAAGCTTGGAAGCTCATTTTTACAACGCTACAAGAGAGGTATATTGGCGAGGCTGGCGAGAAAATCCTTGCTCAGTCTAGAATTTTCACCGGTCATTTTACCAACTTCACTTGGACCCTCGACAGGTTTGAGCACACGGAGAGCCTCCTGATATGGCACATAGCCACTGAATTATGCTACCGAAGCGGACGTCCAGACAACAGCTCCAGCAGTTCTTCATCAAAATCTAATGCTTGTTTTGATCACCGAGAAATATGCAAGTTGATTTCAGATTATATGTTTTACCTTTTGGTAATGGAGCCTACCATGATAGCTACCTCGCCTAACTATTTGAAGATAGTTTTTGAGGCCAAAAATGGAACATGGAAGTGGCCAAGTTATTGCAAGAAGGGATCCAAAGAAACATTAATTGAAGATCTGCTGCATAAGCGATTGGGAGACGACGGAGCGGCAGCGGGAGTTACTTGCCGTTCGTTAAATATGTTGAAGGAATCTCCGCCCCCAAAACGCATTCAAAAGAATGAGGTAGCTCACTTTCAGAAAATAACCCTTGCACGTTTTCTTGCCAAGGAGCTCCTTCAATATCAGCCCGGTGGTTGTACGTGGAACTTGCCTCAGCAAATTTTGGGTAGAAATATTATGCTATGCTGCTATTCATTGCCAACCCATTCTCCATGCACGACAAGTAAGCAGAGGCGGACAACTACTCACCTTGGTGTGGGTGTTGATCAATTATTCGGGATTAATTCCTCCTTCATGGAATGATGGCATAGATGAGTAGCTGTCGGATATTACGATGGAAGGCTAGACGGGAAGAGACAGAATTGTAAGCCATGTAAGTTTTCAAATTTTGAAAACTCTTGGGGCACTGTGTCCCTCCTGGCCTCTTCTATCCTTGTTCCTTAAGAAGGAACTTGTGCACAAGTTGGAGATCATCTCAGCCACTTCATAAAACTGTCTGTCTTCCTGAGTGTTCTTTTTCTATTTTTCTTTTATTTTGACTTCATGCTTATTTTGGAAATCTCGTGTTAATTTATTTAGTATTGTATTGTATTCTATTTATAGTTACGTTGAGTGTTACTTTTTGAAAACATGTATTTAAATTCTGGACAATAATATATATTACCGTGTGTGATCTTATAATAAGCTATGAATTCCGCATCCCAACTTCGGTTGCTTTGGTCGAATGCATTTAAACTTATGATTTCGATCAAAATTTAAAGTTACTGTGCAGCTACCTTTCTTCTCCCCTCTCATTTCCCCTGTTCAAAAAAAAAAAAAAAACAAACCTATGGATTCCGGGACCAAGCGTACCTACAACCTTTTTTATTTATGTGTCACAAATAATATTGGATTTGGCATGGAAAAATCGTACCGGTGATCGCAGCAATGGTACGGTAAAAATGTCAATCGGTAGCTCCTATTGTAATTTGTAATTTCGCAGTACCATTTTGGGCTGTCATTCGGCATTGGAATGGAGGCCCAATATTTGATTTAGCGTTTGAGCCTCCAGTTTACAGCTGCACGCCTGCACCTACCGTTCGACCCATTTTTACTTCTTCTTTTTTTTTAAATGAATTTTTATTTTCTTATTATTTTAACTTTAATTTTGCTTTAGACATAAATAGTCTCCTTTTTTTTTTTGGGAAACCCCAAAAAGGCCTTTTATCTCTCTTAAGGGACATGTCACACTCCGATTATCCTGTTAAGCAAGCCACGTGGACACCTCACAAAGGCCTATAAATACCCTTCAGGAGCCACCTCAAAAAGGTAATTGAAACCAACCTAAAGCTCCTTTTTTATTAGTCTAGAGGTAGATCCGATTATTGCTAACTTAAGCATCAGAATGTCTACCCCGAGGACCCACCTCAGGGCTTTTCAGGTTAATTCGAAGTGAAGATGCGGACTGAAAAAGGATCTCTGGTTTGGTGCAATTGCATTGGCGCCGTCTGTGGGAAACCGAATTGAAAGCTCTCTTGTTGCTCTCTCATCATGGTTAACACTCGATCAGTCTGAGCTGGAAACCAATCTCAACCTCTTGGACAAGGTCAACTCCCCAACAACCTTCCACCTCACCTCCCACCTCAAATCCCAAATATGTTCCCTCCTATTGATCATACAGAAGGAGGAGATGAAAACCAACCTCTTAACTCAGCTCACAACTCAGCTTCCACCGCTAATCAAGACGTAGTTACAGCTTAGCTTGCCGCCATGCAACAACAGTTTGGTGTCTTTCAATTAGTATTGGCTCAGCTCCTAGCTCGAAATAATCCTGGCGATCCCCTCATCAATTTACTCAACCCTGCTCCACCACCCCCAGCTCAACAGCAAGATCCTCAACCAGTTCAGCATGCTCCTGCTCTCAGTGAGTCTCAAGGTCAGTCTCACGTAGCCCCAGCTCAACAACCTCTACCTGATGATGTCACTCGACATCTAGACAGTTTAGAAAAATTGGTAGCCAAACAACGAGGTGCCCCACCTCCACACCATAATACTGACTCCATACCTCATCCTCTGAACACCAACATCACATTGGAACCTTATCCCGCTGGCTTCAAAATTCCTCAGCTCGAGACATATGATGGGACGAAAGATCTTGATGATCACCTCCATGCCTTCTACTCCTGTATGCAAGCTCAGAATGCCTTTGATGCGTTAATGTGTAAGATCTTTCCCTCCACTCTCCGTGGTAATGCCCGTTGTTATTATAGTTTGCCCCCAAGATCTATCAGCTCCTCTTCAGAAATGGCATCTGCTTTTGCCATAAAGTTTTCCAGCAAAAGGTTGATCAGGAAAACTACTTTTGAACTTATGGGAGTCAAACAGAGGGACGGAGAATCTCTAAAGAATTACATGAGCAGGTTCAATGATGCAGTTCTTGAAGTCATCTCCTTCAACCAAGCCGTGGGAATTGCGGCTGTAACTCAAGGTCTCCAACATGAAAGATTCAGAGATAGCTTAATAAAGTATCCTGCTACTACTTTCAACGAGGTTAATGACAGATCGTTGAAATTCATAACTGCTGAGGAATATGCTTTATCCCAGAAACCAGTTTTTCCTAGAAATCAAAACCCAGATTGGAGAGATGAGGGTCAAAGCAGAAAACGGATGAAGACAGTACATAACCGAGGTCTGATGATGACCTCCACATCGAAATTTGGAAAGCCGAACTCAGTACCTCCCCAGCAAAATATCAGTAAAACACCAGTTACATGGACTCCTTTCAATTTGCCAAGGTCACAGATATTCATGCAAATAAAAAACAAGATGGATTTGAGGCGACCAGGGCCGATGAGAAGTTCTGCTGCTACACATGATCATACTAGATACTGTGATTTTCATCAAGGTCATGGTCATACAACGGAGCAGTGCAATAGTCTGAGGTCCGAGTTGGAAAGTCTAGCTCAGAAGGGAATGCTAAATGAATACATCCAACGAACCGAGCAACCGAAGTTTGTTAGAGAATAGGGGACACAGCCACACAGATCTTGTAACGTAGGAAACAGACAAGGCATGGGATATCAACAAGCCCCACCTCCACTCCCACCACCAGCTAGAATTATATATATGATTACGGGGGGCTTAGAAGCAGGAGGTTTGAGCTCTAAGCAGCGGAAGTTGTACATCAGAGAGGTGAAGCATCAAAACCGAGCACAGAAAAGAAAGTTTGACAATGCTGATTAGAAGAATCAACCTATCACTTTCACATTCGCTGATTTTGACACAGTTGTCACACCTCACAATGATTCTCTGGTCACTTCTATCATGATTAACAACTGTGAGGTACAATGTGTCCTTGTTGATACAAGGAGTGCACTAGACATTATGTACTTTCACTGTTTTAAGAGTCTTGGGCTGGATCCAGCTTTGTTGTAGAGGTACAATGGTCCTACCTATGGATTCAACAACCAACCTGTTCAAGTAGAAGGAGTCCTTACTCTCCTTGTTGCTTTTGGGAGTGGCCGAACTTATGTTACCCCTTTAGTTCGGTTTCTAGTTGTCAAAATGACGTCCTCTTTCAATGTTGTTATTAGCCGACCCACATTAACCGAAATTCGAGCTGTGGTCTCCCAGTCTTACCTCTACATGAAGTTCCCAACTCCCATGGGGATAGCAACACTACGGGGTAACCAGGAGGTGGCCAGACATTACTACATTACCTTAGTTACAAGGCCTCAAAAAGGCAAAGATCAGATACCATAAACCATTCCCTAACGAGTTCTTGACAATTAGCAAGTAATGGGTGTTGAGATAGTAGACAACCGACCAGAGGATGAAACCAGAGCTACTCCAGTCGAGGATGTCGAGGAAATGAATATTGACGATAGAGATCCAAGCAGAAAGACACAAATTGGAACTCGGTTGAGCCCGAAGGAAAGAGCAGAGCTAATAGCTTTTCTTCGAGCTAACAACGATGTCTTCGCTTAGACTTCAGCAGACATGCCAGGAATTCCAACCTCGATATCCCAGCATAAGCTCAGCACCAATCCATTGAAAAAACCAGTAGCCCAGAAGTGACGTCTCTTTGGGGGGGAGAGGCTTCAGATTATAAAAGAAGAGGTAGAGAAGCTCCTACAAGTTGGTTTCGTCAGAAGAGTTGATTACTGCGAATGGGTGGCTAACCCAGTGTTGGACCAACTAGTTGAAGCGACTTCTAGAAATGAGAGATTAAGTCTCTTAGATGCATATTCTAGTTACCACCAGGTGTCGGTGGCTCTGGAGGATGAAGAGAAAACCTCGTTCTATGCTGGTGATGAAATTTATTGCTATGTTATGATGCCATTTGGCTTAAAGAACGCAGGTGCTACTTACCAGAAAATGGTGACCATCATCTTCCGAGCTCAAATCAACAAGAATTTGGAAGTTTATGTCGATGACATTGTGGTAAAGAGCCTGAAAGCAGAAGACCATCTAGCTGATCTCAATGAAACATTCAACAACCTCAGAAAGAATAGAATGCGGTTAAACCCAGCCAAATGTATCTTCGGTGTGGAGTCTGGGAAATTTCTAGGCTTCATGGTTTCCTGAAGAAGGATTGAGGTCAACCCAAAAAAGATCAGAGCAATTGCCGAGATGGAACCGCCAAAGTCGGTGAAAGATATACAGAGATTAACTGGAAAGGTGGCCGCTCTTCATAGATTCATATGGAAGGCAGCAGATAAGTGCTTGCCATTCTTCAAGATCATGAGGTCAGCAGCCCAAAAGGACGAATCTAGCAAACAGAAGAAGTTTGAATGGAACCAAGAATGTCAAGCTGCATTCGATGAGCTGAAGTCTTATCTTAACTCACCACCCTTACTGACTAAGGCTATAGATGGAGAAATTCTCTATTTGTACCTCGGTATTTCAAACGAAGCAATTAGTTCAGTTTTGGTGAAAGAAGAAGGCAAACACCAAAAATCAATTTATTATATCAGCAGCGTGCTGCGCGGAGCAGAACTGAGGTACCCTATTGCTGAGAAAGCAACACTAGCAGTTGTCACTTCAGCTAGAAAATTGAGACCGTATTTCCAGTCACATCCAATTATAATCCTCACAGACCAACCTCTTCGACAGATCCTTCAGAAGCCAGAGTGTTCTAGAAGGTTAATTAAGTGGGCAGTAGAACTGGGGGAATTCGAGATAACATTTCAGCAGAGATCTGCGATCCGGGCTCAAGCACTGGCAGATTTCATCGTGGAATGCACCCCATGTCACTCAATCCCTAACCCCAAGCCAAGCGACTAGACCTTATATGTTGATGGAGCATCTACTAGCAAGGGTTTAGGAGCTGGTGCTTTCTTAATTGGCCCAAATGGATACCGAAGTGAACATGCTCTGAAATTTAACTTTGATGCAACAAACAACATGGCTAAGTATGAAGCTCTGCAACTTGGTTTGCAACTAGCATTGGAGTTGAAAGTAATGGCGATACAAGTATACAGTGACTCACAACTTGTGGTTAATCAAGTCAACTCAATCTGCGAAGTTGTTGATCCTGTGATGATGAAATATGTAGCCCTGGTGGCTGAGCTAAAGTGTAAATTCCAGAAATTTTGTCTAAACAAAATTCCCCAGACTGAGAATGAACAGGTAGATTCACTTTCTAAGTTCGCCTCTGATAGCTCTTTAAGCTCCAGATCAGTTTCCGTGGAAGTTTTAGATGAACCAAGCTTCATGAAGCCACGAATGATGGAGGTCAGCACAGACCCGGATACACTGAGCTAGACTGATCCAATTATCTCCTTTTTGCAAGATGGGATAGTGCCTGAAGACAAGCAAGAGGCAATAAGGTTGAGGAAGAAAGCATCTCGATATACACTCGTCGATGGGGTCCTCTATAAGAGATCTTTCTCACTCCCTCTTCTACGGTGCTTGAATCCTTACAAGGCTGAGTACACACTTCGGGAGGTGCATGAAGGTGTATGTGGAAGCCACATTGGTGCTAGAAACCTGGCTCACAAAGTTCTCAAGCAGGGATATTATTGGCCGAATATGTATAAAGATACTACTCACTTTGTTTAGAGATGCCCGAAGTGCCAATTCTTTGCACATTTGACTCACCAACCAACAGAAGAACTCACCAACTTGGTAGCACCGTGGCCATTTGCTCAGTGGGGACTTGATCTTTTGGGCCCATTCATGAAAGGGATTGGAGGTGTAACCCATCTAATTGTTGGAGTTGATTATTTTACGAAATGGGTTGAAGCTCGGCCATTATCCAGTCTTACTTCCAAAAAGGTCAAAGACTTTGTTTTTGGCTCAATTATCTGCAGATATGGGATCTTGAACCAGATTGTGGCTAACAATGGTACCCAGTTTAACTGCTCCTCCTTCCGAACTACAATTCACCTCGGTTTATCATCCAAAGTCCAATGGTATGGTAGAATCTGTTAATAAATCTATCTTAAAAGGAATAAAGCCGAGGTTGGAGCAGCATAAGGTCAGGTGGGCAGACGTGCTCAACAACGTCCTTTGGGCATATAGAACTACGAGCCAAACTGCCACAGGTACTATTTTCAACCCAAGATACTTTCATTCTATTTTTATTTGCTCACCTGTGGCTATACCCTAGATCAAATATGCATAATATGTAAAGCATATTCTAAAGACTATAATTTCATGAAATAGATGAAACACCCTACCACCTGACCTTTGGTACTGAAGCAGTCATTCTTATTGAAATAGGAGTCCCAACCTTCAGGGTAACCCATTTCAATGAAGGATGAAATGGGCAACTGCTTAAGGAAAACCTTGATCTGCTTGTCGAAGTCAGAGAAGAAGCACGACTTCGAACTCTTGTATACAAGCAGAAATTAGCCAACTTCTACCACAAACGAGTCCGCCCTCGAACATTCAAAGTAGGAGACCTTGTTCTCAGAAAGGCTGATCTAACAGGGTTTGAAACTCATTTTGGTAAACTGGCCCCAAACTGGGAAGGCCCTTATACGGTGGCCGAAGTGCCACATCCTGGTGCCTATGTCCTCCAAGACGCTGAAGGGAAGAGAGTTCCTAGAGTTTAGAATATTAATAACTTGAAGAAATTTTACCCCTAATAAACTTCTTTCAAGTGATCTATGTCTTATTCTCTTTTATACTTATTACTTCTTCATTATTGAGATTCATTTTATCTCTTATTCTGTATATCTAAGGTCAATTTGTTTGAAATTTACTCCTTGGACTTCACTTTTATTAATGAATGTCACTTCACATACGAAGTGATTTACTTCTTTTCAGTTCATCTCTAAAGTGATTTACTTCTTTTCAGCTCATCTCTAAAATGATTTGCTTCCCCTCAAGTCATCTTCGAAGTAATTTACCTTATCTCAGTTCTTATATTAATATAAAACAACCAAAACGTAAAGCAAGTATTACACATAATTGTAAACACAAAATTTTTCATTAAAAACAAATAATAAAATTACAATCTATTCAATTGTTCCAACGTTATCAAATAAGAAAAATCAAAAAACAAAAATTCTTTATTCCTCTATTGGAGGAGGTGGCTGAGTTGGCTGCTACTTGGTTGGAAGAGGTGGTTGCTCATCATCAGAAGGAACTGGATGGACCTCCACTTGCAGAGGTGGCTGACCCTCATCCACTTCAGCTCCTCCAGCTCCTGCTCCTACTTCAGTTTCCTCTACCTCTGCCTCTTCTTCCTCCACTGCCACGAACTCGAAGTCGAAATTTGGAGGGAAAACAGTGCGTCCTTCTGCATCACAATCCCACCTCAGCTTAATCTGAGGATAGAAGTTTGCTAACATGCTCTCATTGTTTTCCTCCACTCCTTCCTCTTGTTCGCCGAAGGTGATCTTCGTAATATCCACTTCGGGATATTCAGCTTCCACCTTCTTTCTGCAGTCAGTGAAGGCAAGAATAGCAGTGGGCAACTGATAAAGGTTGACGATGTTGTCAAATGAGCTGGAGCTGACGAAGTTGCTGATATGTTACTCCATCCTATTGTGTACCAGCAACTGAACATTCTTCTTCAGTTCCACCACAGCTTCCTTCATCGCTTTTATTTCCTTCTCTTGAGCCTTACACTCGCTTTCAGAGATTTTTCGTTTTTTCTCCTCAAAGACGAGCTTGGTACTCAGGGAATCCCTCTCCTGCTCAAGCTGCTTCACTGCTGGTACCACCTCGTCCAGCACCTCTTGCATGTCTTTATGTTTCTTCTCCAGCTTTTCCTTCTCCTTCTACAGCTGGTCACACTGCCTTTGCAAGAGGGAGCGCTCTTTCACACTATCCATGAATTCCTAGGCTAGACCATTCACCCAACTCGCACTCTACAATTCAAGCACAAGTCCAAAAAAAAAAAAAAAACAAACACACCAAAAGCTACAAATAAATCAACTTAGCATACCTCCAGAACATGCTTCACCACAGTTGCCCCACAATATCTCAGAGCTTCGTCCCTTGCTTGACACTTGTCCACTTCGGGGAAGGTTGCATTAATAAACCTCCTTGCCCCCATCGCGTTCTTCGCCTCAAACAGACTCCTTTGAAAGGATAATGGGGGAACGAGGCCCTTTCCTTTACCAAAGGCCCTTTCCTTTACCAAGAGCCCTCACCTCAGCCTCCTCAGCCTTAGACTCCTTGAGCTCAAGATCAAGCTCAACAAGAGGAGGCCGAGGTACGAATTGTAGAACCTCGCTCCCCCTAACCTCCTCTTCCACTACCTTTTTCTTCCTCTGCAACGCTCCCACCTCCTCACTGCCTTTCCTCTTCAGCTCCAGCCTAGACACCACCTTCTCCACTCCAGCTGAGGTGCTGGGCACTAACTCCTTCCCAGCTCCTCCTTCCCCCGCTTCCTTGGTTGAAGTCTTTGACTTCTTCCTTGGCTTCTTTGGAATAGCCACCCCCCTAATAGCATTCAAGAATTTATCCATTTCAGCTGCAAAACAATTAAGACAAAGTGTCAACCACACAACTCTATGCTCCACATCAAACACTACAATATAAAATTTCAACACACCTTCACTCAAAGCGCTTGGCCCATAGAGCTCAGCAGCCTCTACACATTCTACGCTGGTGAAGGACATTATATTAGCTAACTTACCCCCCTCCCTCACCAGCTTCCCCACCTCTTCCTCCTTATCCTCATTTAAACTATACTTATTTTGGTTGGCTTTCTTAGCCTTCCAAGATGACAACAATTCTACCTCGGCATCCCCCCTCTCCCACTCAATGTCATCTATAAAGAAAAATTTTTCCTTCCATCCTTTAATGGATAAAGGACCTGTTGTAAATAAGCTCCTACTCTCTCTATTTGACACTCTAGGGGTGAAATAATGCCACCCCAGGGGTGAAATAATGCCACCCCTTGTCCTTTCTACTACCCCCGTTTAGAACAAAAAAATATTTAAACATATTTACCGTTGACACATTAAACCTCTGAGCTCGATAATAAACTAAAAACCCTATTATTACCCTCGTAGCGTTGGGGACTAATTGTGTCAACTATATACTATAATCTAATAATAGACCCACTAACAACTCAGGAATTGGAAACCTAAGCCCAACTGCCAAATAATGGGCATACACGGGCATCTAATGATCCCGAGGTGCAGAACAGGCCCTCTCCTATACCCTAACAGGCCTAATCAGAACTCGGGAAGAAATTTCATAACTTTCAACTAAATAACCCAAGCTATCCCTGGTCCCGAGCTCAGACTCATACTGCTTCACCTCAGATACAATATCTGCATCTACATCATAACACATTTCCCTCATACCCTCCACTTCCACTACCATAATGGGTACCCTATCTCCCTCTACCCCAACTACCTCACCTCTTCCCACCCCCTCCTCCGTCCTCTCCGAGTTAGACGACTCACTGGTCATACTCATGTCACCATATTCTAACGCCCTCACTTCCTCACTTCCCCCAATGCTCACCATTTGTTCAGAAGACATCTCTTCAAAGTTTGTAACTTTCAGTACATGGAATACAGAGGGGGGAAGGAGAAAATAAAATCAGGATTTTTAGAAATTCTAACTCACACTCACCGTTACTCTCACTCCTAAACCTAACTTCCTTCAAAAGACTTAGATCTAAATCAGAAAGGATGAGAGTAGAAGAAAACACACTCTAAAATCTAAATCACCAAAACTCATACGTTACCTGATCTCAGTCTTGAAAACTTGATGTAGAAGTCCACAAAGGATGCAACAGTTCAGGCGCAGGAAGAACACAATAGAGTTTTGGTAGCAATTTCATAGAAAATATAATGAAAGTAAAACTCTTTTTGTAGGAATATGGCTATATATACCTCAGAGCAAAAATAAATCTTAACGGTTGTGATTAATTTAATATGACGGTCATAATTCACACCGTTTTGAATTCAACAGTACAACCCTAACGGGAATCATTCGAATTCAACAGTTCGTTTTCCACTTCGTCTGTCTGACTGCAGCAGTTACTTTTTTCAACCCCGTATTTATTGTACACGTCTTTCAATAGACAACTGTCATGTCACGTACTAACCCTACATCAGACTTTTTAAACGGGCCCACTTAAGCCTAACTCAACATTTCTGTTCACTTTCACAATAATATTTTTCAAATTTACAAGTATTTTACCTCGGCTACAGCCACTATGACTCCGGTCATTACTTTTTACTATAGCTCCGACCACTATGACTCCGGTCATTACTTTTTACTATGGCTCCGGCCACTATGACTCCAGTCATCACTTTTTACTACGGTTTCGACCACTATGACTCTGATCATCACTTCTTACTACGACTCTGGCCACACTGACTCCGGTCATTATTTTCACTAAGGCTCCGGCCACAATCATTCCGGTCACATTTTATTTTGGGAATGGCCAAAATGACCCCATGTCACATATTCCACTATTAGTTACGGCCACACAAGAATTTGAGTTACCAATTTTTATTTTAACTTCTATAACTCATCTTTAATATTTTCATTCCTCTTTCTATCTATTTATGCACTACTCCCATTATCTCTAACAACATCATTCACAAGTGAATGACTTCGAGGGGGGAATAGTGTAAGGATAGGTCCGAGATCCTTAACTTTGGACGTATTGTAACAATTCCTTAATAGCCAAAGTGAAGTTAAATCCAGCACTTCCCCGTCAAATGGCTACATGATAAATATAGTGGACATGCCCACACCTGATCTATCGCACACAATTTCCCAGTCCCGAATTTACCGCCTTAAGGGACATGTCACACTCCGATTATCTTGTTAAGCAAGCCACGTGGACACCTCACGAAGGACTATAAATACCCCCCAGGGGCCACCTCAAAAAGGTAATTGAAACCAACCTAAAACTCCTTTTTTGTTAGTCTAGAGGTAGATCCGATTATTGTTGACTTAAGCATCGGAGTGTCTACCCCGAGGACCCACCTCGAGGCTTTGTAGGTTCATCCGAAGTGAAGACGCAGACTGAAGAAGGATCTCTGGTTTGGTGCAATTACACTTTCCTCCCCCCATTTTCTTTGGATACTACTCTCAGTTTGCTTATCTAAGGAAGAAAGAAGAGATGAACGATTGATTTCATGGAAAAAGAAGACATGAACAAATGATTTCATCTAGCTAAAATGTCAATTTTGGAACTTTAAAGTTTTGTACAATTTTTGACTCTCAATTTTTTCATGTACTTTTTTGATCTCTTAATTATAAAAAAAAAATTATCCTTCTATCAATTAATTCGTTGAGTTTATCCAAATATATACATTTTTAATTTTTCAACTTATAATATATGTACATTTTGTCCCTCAACTTAAAAATGCAAAGATTAAAAATATATATTTATAAATAGATTTAATGGATTAATTGATGAAAATATTAAAAATGTGCATTTTTCATAATTGAAGAACTAAACAAATGTATAAAAGAGTTAAGTGACAAAAATTATTCTAAACCTAAAGTTGAGGGGCCAAATTGTGGCATTTAACCATTTCATTTTGCATGTTTTCTTGCTGGGATTGAAAGGGGAGATCTCTCTAGGTTTTTTTTTTTTTTTTGGCAAAACCATTCCTTAAGCCCTCAAACTTGCCCCATTTTTGCAATATGCCCCTAAATTTAAAAAAGGCAAATAATCACTTCAACCATGCAATTAAAGCAAA